TCAAGTGATATAAAGTTTTTTCAGCATTTCTTCATGGTGAACCACCATCTGCAAAATGAAGAGAAACCTGAAATATGACTGTCTGGGGTAAGTGTTGCTCTTATGTTTTGCTAAAATTGGAGATATATGAATTAAACATTCTAAATTAAATATAGTTTCTTAACTAAATGTTAGGTTGGTGTGACTAATACTAGCCATATGGTTCAGTTTTTGAAGGTGCAGTTTAAAAAGTGTTTTAGTGAATAAGGAAGACATTGATCCTCATCAGTTTGGAACGATAAGCATGAAGTCAGTTATTTCTTGAAAATGTGTTAATCATTGGTTGTTCATGATTAACTCATTGCAAATGAACAACTGGGTAACTTCATGCTTATTGTTCCAGGCTGATGGGGAAAAATAACTAAATGTCATTTGCAAAATTACAAAAGCTGGGCTTTGTTTTTGGACTGTTGGGTAAAGCCTTGTCTTCATTCAGCAGTTTCAGTTTCAACAAACGGCCTCATAATTAAAGAAATGGATTCAAGGATTTGATTTATGTATATTTTCTTTATTAAAAAAAAAGCTGTATAGCAGCCACTCATTATTATCTACAATTTTCACAATATAAATATGTAATGAAACAGCTTGATTCCATAAGTTTCCAGTAAATGGAAAAAGATATGCCTCCACCCAGATTAATTCCAGATGATCTTTGCTATTTAGAGCTAGAACAGTGTCTAATAATTCTTTGAAAGTTAGAAACGATATTATTCGTGAAGTTAAACATATGCAGATATTTAGTGTTTCAATTTTTTTAACAACTACTCTATAAGAGCGGATGCATATTGGCAACATTTCTGAACTACATTTGCCCACCCTTTTGTTTGGTATTGTGCAAACTTTCTTTCCCTTACTGTTTGAAGTTGTATTGCCTTTGCTTTCATCATTGGTCCTTGGGGGCCCCAAGCAAAGACAATACAAACGTAAACTGTAAGGGAAAGAAAATTTGCACCATATCAAAAAAAAGGGTGGGCAAATGTAGCTCAGGCATATTGGGGCATAACTTTTCTTTGCTGACGTCAGAAGAATTATGAAAATGTGACGTCCTGACATAAATCTGAAAAAAAGTCTAACGTTTCGTTTCTGATGTTCATCCTTACGATATGCTGTTGTGTCCACATTAAATTTAAAATCATGCACCGGCATAGTTACTCTATATATATATATGGAGCAGTTTAGATCCTGACTTGTCATTTTTACTAGTTTCCTCTTTTGGGATGCATGTATGGATAACACGGATAAACAGCAATAAGACCACAAGCACAGCCAAACACAAACAGGCATAAATAACCCATCTGATGTAAGTATTAGGCAGACTGGTTTCAGTTTGCAGGTGTTTTTCATCTCTGGTAGCTAAGACAGAAAGAGGGGAAAAACATATATTGTAAAGACTCTGAAAAAGCAAAATGATAGCTCACAAAAATAATTCTTGTTTATAATGTTATATACCTTGTTTTGCCATAGAAGATGCAGTGCTTCTAATTGATTGTTCTGTGGAAAGATAAAAACAATTTTGTCTAACGATGCTCACTCAATTCATTCATCTTAAAGCATTAAGCATGAGAAACTAATGTTTAATTAAGAAAGACTAAAATGTTAACCCCTGTGCCAGCAAGACTCAACAGAAATAAAAACGGAGTAAAAAAAAAGTTAACAAACCTGAGGATGTTTTTGGTTTGCATTGTTTTGAGTCTGTAAAAATATTTTATGACACCTTTAATTAATGACATCATAAAATATTTTTAAAATAAACATAAGATTAATTTTGGAACTGCTTTATTTACCTCTGACAAATAGCGTAACTTCACAGCTCGGTTTCCCATCAATACAGAGAATATATATGCCTTGATCTGACTGATCACATCCATCAATGTAAAGGGATAAATCTTCATTCAACTCTACTGTCCTGTTCATGAAAGTGTCTCCTTTTTTGCGGTCTCCGTTGTAGTTCCAGATCACTCTTTCACCAGAATCTTTTTTCCAAAGTGCATTTATCTCCACTTTGCCCTCGATATGATTCTTTGGGTCCAGACAGGACAGTGTAGTGTGATCACCCTTACACTTTGTGAAACCTCAATACAAAATAGAACTTACATTATTTGTAAGGAACAATAAATATGACCTGATACAGATATTAAATTGTAGTAATTCTGTAAGAAATCAAACTTGCATTACTTTTGTATAAAGTGCTTACCTCTATTGGCTGTGCTCAAGGGAATCAGCAGGAGGATCCACGAGATACCTGTTGACCTGCAGGTAAAAGGTGTATATTTAAATATATTTATGAAATATAGCAGTTAAAGAAAACCAGTTATATAAGGGGAATATTTGCTTGTCCTGAAGATAGCCAACTAAATTTGACCAGTAAATAGGGCTTTGTTCACACTGCAGGGGAAATCGGTTTGTTTGCTTGTTTTGTCATATTAACTGACAAACTGAAACTTTAATTACAATGAAAAATTGTATTTCAATCTCAAACTTTCAAACCACCTACAAATTTAGCTTATTATGCCTTGCTTATTATGCCTACCCTTTATACTTAATTAACTAATGAACGACACTTTTCACTAAATTTGATAATACGAGATAAACAAAGTTACATAAAACATTTCCCAAAATGTACATACATAATTCCAAACATACATAATAACAGAAATACACATTCCAGCTATTACTTCAATATTTTAACTAATACATTCACAATTTATTAATACTGAGTCTATAATTATTTATCACCTTGTATTTATAAATTTTCTTAAATTTGCAAAGTGAATTACATAATTCCTTATCACATTTATTCCATAGATTTACCCCTTTGACAGATATACACCTATTTTTTTGCATTAGTTCTTGCCCTACTGTTTTAAACGTATACATTCCTCTTAGATTATACTGACTTTCTCTTATTTTGAACAGCCTCTGAATACAATTTGATCAAATAATTAACTTTACATATGCTGTATGCCAGTATTCGCTGAGATGGCTTACCTTAAAAAAATACTGAGTTAAGATTATTCAAAAATATACCATCATGGCCTGAACCCATAGTCCATTGTATGTATAATAAGAGGTAAACGGTGACCTGAGCAAATTATTAGGTCAGTGTTAAGTGCAAACGCTTCACTGTAGTGTTGCCGCATTGCAAAGTAGATGTGAAAAGTGTCAAAGTACAGCCATTATAAAATACAAAGTGTTGCTGTGATCTGTAGGCTAAATATGCAAGTGCAGCCTTGCAGATAAATTGTGGAAAAAGTCCACTGATGGGGAAAAATAAGAATGCTCTGTAAAAAACAAACAAACAAAAAAACTTTTGCTCAAAGGTAGAGTTGAGACACATTCCCAAAACTGTAAGGAAACATTAATACTTAATATGAATATTTATTTACATTTTCTTAGGTCTTGGTGGAAAATTATAATTTAGGCAAATCATATAGGAATATCCTGTTAAATTAACCCCTTTGTGAACCAAAGATGGGTCCAATCGTTCCAGACTGGCTTATTAGGAATAGCTGTTGCTGTGTAAAAATCGTAACAGCAGGCTACAACAAGTTAAAACATTTGAGCTATCTGAATGAGAGAGAGAGAGAGAGAGACACCCAAAATACTTTAACCCCTTCGAACAACGGCGAATTTAAAAATATTCATTTACACAAATACACATTTATTCAATGCAAAGTTTTATTAAAAGTAAAACGCACCGTAGTACTATACATGTTTAAAACAGTGCAATCGATGTATTAAATAGGCTACAGTTTATGTTATGCAGTATTAAATTCAGCTCCTTTATTTGCGCGCAGTTTCAGACATTCGGGGACGCCTCATGTGGTAGTTCTCCAGGATAATCGAGCTCTTCTGCCCTAAAAGTATTAAGCTGCATACTCACAGCATTTCGCGCTGACATGAGTTGAGTTCAGTTGACTGTAGATGTCTATAGTCTCCTCCCTGTTTCTGAGCTCAACAGTGCCACATACGCTCTGACTTAGTTTGCGGGGAGATCGCTCCCGTATATCAGGAAAAAAAGGTTGGCTTATAGTAGTAGCTAACGATTGCATAGTTTAGTACGAGTCCTCTACTCTACTCAAGTGTGCAGTGAAGCCATTTCGATCGCCATCTGGTGGCTGGATGCAATATATATATTTACAGTCTATGGTTAATAATACCAAGTATGGGACGGGACCTGTTTTTATACAGTCTATGGACGGGACATGAACAATACATCTACCGATAGCCAACGACTACTCAAGTGATTTTGATCAAACAATAACCACTGTTGTGTGGACTGTCTTATTTATGTATGTATGTATTTATTTATTTGACAAGGAAAAGACTCATTTAATCTCTTTTTACATCGTCTTGGCTCACATCTCGTTCTACTCTACTCTTTTCCATAGTTTCCATATGTCTGTTCCTTATAAACAGGGCCTATTTTTGGAGCAGCATCTATATTTAAAGTTTGGCTGCTGCATAAATTGAGAGTAAATGTTCAGGAAAGGGACAATAAAAACAAATGTTGCTTAATTGTACATCCAAAATGGCATATACGGGTATAAACTACCATTATAATAAGGATGAGTCAGTTGGTAGCCTATATAGAAAGTGAAAGCACATTTATGTCCAGGTCTGAGGGAAGTACCTATACTACGCAATTACTGATCATGATCATTACTCGTCCAATTTTGTACCTGGAAAAGGTTAATGCGCAATCCTGTTTTTTTTTTTTCATGTTAATGGGTTTTTATAAAACAATGACCTCACTAAACAGTGTCTCCTGGTGGTTATGCCACTGTCTTCCAGTATGTTGTTAACAATTAATCAGTAAAGAAGATCTTGCTGTGCTGGCAAGGTAAGAAACAAGAATGATATGTAAAGAGACATAATATAAGCCCTATGAAAATACAACAACAATGATGAACTCCTTAATGGGCACAGCAGGCTTTCGTCGGCTCATAGTGAATACTCAGGTTTTCTTTTACAACACCGAAAGACCCTTTGTGCTAATTTAATTTTGATGCTTGCTTGAATTTTTGATCATCCTGTTTGCGTTTCATCTTGCATGACATGCACAGCATTGGTTGGTCTGACAAGTAGAATTCCAAATCAAAAGCACTTGGACCTAATTTGATTTGCACAAGTGAGGGTCTTATTCTAATATGCACCATGTTTAGCATCAGTAGTTCTTAATTTCTCTCTGTTGGTGCTGTACTCCAACAGCAAGAAGTTTGATGAGCATTCACCTATAGCCTAAACTAAATACTTAATAATTTGTGTGATTTAAACTAAACATAACTGCAACTTTATTCGTCAAATTTATTAAAAATCTTTGCAAATGGATTTTCTTTAATATTCGTTATTCCATAATGGCATGACACACTTTGAACACTAGATAGTGTTAAATATGTTTGCTATGGTTGCACAAAAACAAGTAACACCATCCAAATATACAGAACTGTCATTAAAATCTGAATTCTTTGCCGATGAAGTTAAATTCTGGCGTATGGTAACATTATCAAAAAATGTTATTATTCTGTGGATATACAGTAATGGTATATTTAATTATTGAATGATAATCTAAATTATGAATGTTGTCTTCATCGACCTCTTTCAGGTTTGATGATTTTTTTCTCAATACCTCCTAGTTGGCATAACCATTGATTTACATAACTTTGACTTTGTCAAAAATATCTCTAGGTGATATATTACATTAAATAGAATGTTCAGGTTGTTATTAAATTTCTTATAGAGACAAAATAACAGCAGCAGAAATATTAGATTTTTGAAAATTATTGTTCCTCTGTCATTTGTATACTGAAGTACCAGATAATAAAACATGTTATATCCAGCCTTTGTTATGCAGTTTTTATTTATTTTGTACAAATGCATTTCTTTTCATTTAATGCTTGCATATACTGTGTCCTGTGTGAGATGATGTTGTCCTCTGTTTCTTTGTGTTTTATTTATATTTACAAATGCATATGAAATTCCATCAGCTTCATTCTCCTGAAACAGTAGAGGTAAATGTACATTTCCATTTGCTAACCAATGAATAATGTAAATATATATATAAATATCGAATTTAACTTCTTTAGAAGTCTAAAAGGTGAATACCTGCTCGTCCTGTGTACTTTTATATAATGTCTTTGATTCCTTTAAGTTTTCTGAAAAAAAAAAGGATAGAAAAAAGAAATAAAAAGAATAGAAAATAAAATTAATTTGTAATTTATACAGTTGAACAGTTAAAAAATGTTTAGGAATGTACATGAATTGTGCTATGTGCTGCTAACCTTTTTTTTGTCTTTTTATTCTCCAGCACATACACACATTTGACATCAGTGAGAGTAATAGAAGTACACAGATCACTGGCAGCCATATTGTGGTACTGATATAATTACCAATAGTTTTTTTATCCTCTATCTCTTCTGTATTCTGCTGCTCTACATCAGGATAAGGAAAATATGGCAGGATTTTAGGATCTGAATTGTCAGTTCAGTTTGAACTCATAAAATACCATATATGGTATTATAGCATTTTTTTTTTAACTCAACATAAATGTACTGAAATTCCCAATGACTTTCTGTCAAGACAAGAATTATTTTACTTTTTCAAGATTGCAGTCATATTTTCTTTTCATGTTTTTCATTGTTCACCTTTGCTCAAACATTTTAAATGAATAGGCCTATGATAATATTATTCATTGAAATGCATGTATACCTTCATAGTCCAGTTTTGTGCAGTGAGTTTGCTCAATCTTATAGTCAGTGCAGCAGTAGAGCATGCGATCAGTGTCAGTGATGTTCATCAGAAGCAGAGAGTGAGTGTTTGTGGATGAACTGAGAGCTCTTATCCGACCTGCGTAACTGGGGTAAATATAGGAGGGCTCTGGTTTAGATTCTGTACCATAAACATATTCTAGTCTCAGAATTCTGACAAATGTTTGGTTTCCATTCGTAATGATCCAGGTGATCTCTTTATCATTTTTAATGCTACAGGACAGTGTTGCGTTTCCTCCTGGATGAACTTTCATTGATGATCCTTCAGTGACAATCATTAAGACAACACAGAAACCTGGAGATGAAACAAAATCAAGTATTACGACAAAATTGCTTTTTTTTTTTTTGTCGTTGCAAATTGATGCAAATTTTCTTTATACTGTACATTAATTGCTAATAGAACCAAGAGAACGGAGAATAATACTTCATAAATCAGCATTGTTTTTCCTAATAAAGTATTTCCTAGATTGTGGAACATAGTTATATTTGTCTTCTGTTGTCAAAATGAGAATTAGTAAGGGACCAGTTTAGAGCATTGGAGGATGATGTTATTATTGCTATTTTTCATCATAAACATGTCAATAATTCAGTACACAAACCAATGAAAATTGAATGTATAATGACTTCAGAGTGTATTTACTCAATTTTATTACTTTTTTTAAATTGAAATCTCAATTTCACAATTTCACTTTTTAAATTCTTTTTTAGAATATTTGATTTCTTGATTATGAAACTAGTTCTTAAATTCAATTTTTTTTAAACAATTTTTTTTTTTACCTGCATAAGTGAATGTTCTTTTGAGAACCACTTGCTTTTGTTCCAGTTGCTGTGCACTTTGCTTTCAGTCACAGTGACCATAGCAGTGCTTAGGCCTTTACCATGAATGCTACTGTATATGAACTCTTCACATTCATGTACAAGACTGGCTGATTTAGAACTGACAGATTTAGTTTCCACACTAACATCCTTTTGAACAAACATCATGAAATTAAGGTTTTAATTTCCATTTCTCAGTGGTCCAGAAACTGGTTTCAGAAAAGATCACATGCATTTTTTTGGACCAGTGTTTTTTGTAGTAAGTCCAACACATTACTAGAAATGCCCACAATGGCTTCAAGCTTGCCAAGAGAATGCATTCACAATCAGACTCAAATCAAGGAAAGATTATTTTCTATTGGTATATATTCTTAAATATTGTCACTTTTTACTGTGAACATTCAGCAGTCAGCCATCACAGACAGAAAATCTGAAAAGCTATCAATTCAAAGATCATTCTATGAAGGATTCTTTATGATGCCACATTATAATATTGCAAACTCAGTCAATCTCTCTCCTAATACATTTGAAGAAGAGGTCAGAAAAAAGTAACGTTATAAAAAATGCCATTTTTTGTCCATTGCTAATTTCAGTCCATCATGCACAGAAAAAGACACTGCTTAATCGTGCACTCATATGCGTCAACACATAAGATACATACAGGTGCATCTCAATAAATTAGAATGTCGTGGAAAAGTTTATTTATTTCAGTAATTCAACTCAAATTGTGAAACTCGTGTATTAAATAAATTCAATGCACACAGACTGAAGTAGTTTAAGTCTTTGGTTCCCTTTCAGTCGGTCACTCTCGACGTCACGTCGGATGACCGACGAATTGGGATCTCGCTTAGAGGGACCAATCTACTTCACGACATTCTAATTTATTGAGATGCACCTGTATATTAAGCAAAAGGAGGACACATAAAGCCTTTGGCATACTTACTTATCAATCCTCTCAGCATGATTCTCTCTGGGCTTCTCTCTCTGTGGATGCAAGCAGAATGAAAGACACTTGTGGTGTTTTCCCCTTTTATTTCATAACGTCATAGATGCCCTTGACTCACCAATAGGCAATGACCCTGTGATAGAAAAAAAATACACAGAGGGATGCAAATTAATGTACAAGCAACCTATAGGAATGGATCAGTATTTTACTTGCCAGGTTGTTTACAGTTACTTATGAGGGCGACAGTGATATGAGGGTGAGTAAATGATGACAATTTTTAGTTTTGGATGAGCTATCCTTTTAATTATCCAAGTTGTCATATAGTTGAGTATTTTAAGAGGGTAACAAATTCCAGGGTCTTCAAAATCAACTTAATGTGAAATGACGCAAATGTAGGGTAATAATGTATCATTTAAATTATGATCATTCTTTTGAAATGAAAATATATCAATTATGGATGCAAGAGCGGTTGAACAATCAATAATGACTTTGCTTTTGTCATCACGTTATTCTGAGGTCTTTAAGTTATCACACTTTTCTAATGCTAAGAGTTGTGAAAAAAACAATTGCCATTGTGCTTCATTAAATAATCAAATTTAGCAACAACACTTCAGACTCAATCTTCTGGCAAAAAGAACCTAAGGATTGTACAAGCCACATTTTATTTTTCATTCAAATTCACAAAACTAAATTCAAAACACACCACTGAGTGCATTCGAGGTTTAGACCCACTGCATGGCAAGGAATGGTAATGAGCATGGCCGTAGGCTGAGTTCACTGGAAAATGTTCATTTTCAAAGCAAAAATAGATATCTTATTAAGTGGTTGTTGCGGTGAAGCTCTCACAAAAAATATCAATGGTCGCAGAGAACCAAAAAATAAAGGTTGACTAATGTTTCAACTGAATGCTTGCACAATACATTAAATGTTTTAGTTAAAACATTCATTGATTCAAATGAATTTCAATCACAATACTATAATAAAGCACCACTAAGGCTTTGATCACTGATGAGGCTTTATTATTAATTATTTTTTGTTTCAAACCTACACTTACTTTTCTTGCCTCCAGTAGCTACTTCCCCTCTGCTGTCTCAGCAATCATGACAAACACTGACACGTAGCTGCATCTCTGTGGAAAGATGTTTTTGTGATTTTTTTGATCAAGAATATACTACAAATATTAACAATAATTGAAATGATAGTCCAGCCACATTGCAGTCTTTTCTCAAGATTACTTGCACTATTTGAAATGCTTTTTATATGCTAAAGTTAATAATGCATCTTAACATAAACAGATTTGGAGGAGCTGTGGTCTAGCTTTTAAGAAATGTGTTGAAGCCCCTGAGTTCCTGTATCAGGAAATCCATGTGCGTAACAAGAAAACACTGACATGACTGAGACTTCCGCAGGAGGTACTGTTTGCCTTACAAAGTCTTAGCAGTGTCATACCACAATGAACTCATTAAAGAGTTTACTATAGGACTAAAAAAAGGGAAAGAGAAACTGAACAGACCAAATAAATAAATAAATTAATTCAATGCAGGTGGAAATCAACTATAGACCTGAAAAACATCTAAGGTACTGTAGGTGAAGGTAGGATTCCAAGCCAATTAAATTACTTAAACTGGACTGGACCGACTATCCACAACAAGTTCTAAAGGTCAATTGACTAACATTGAGGTGAAATTCAATTGTAAATAACATCACTCATAACTTATTTTTACTTTAGTGAATGAAAAATATTCTGGACAAAATTCACACTAAAAATGGACACAAAAATATCAACATTCCTGCAGAATTTACGTGGATGATCATTCAGTAAACATTAGTCATGATTTGGTGTTATCTAGTGTTGTCTGTGTACTTCTCTTGCTTTCTCTAGCAACAAAAAAGTCTGTCGGGGCTAAAAGTAAAAAAGAAGAAAAAAGTGTAGGTAATTAATATGAACATTATGTCCTTTATGGCATTAAACCCACAATTTGGGTTAACCTAATTTTGGTAAGAATGAATGAGTGTGTGTGTGTGTGTGTGTATGATTAGGTCAGTATAAAAACAATAACACAACAGGGGGTATCTCCTCAGCCACCACCAGTGTGCAGCATCGACCTGGATGATGCGACAGCAGCCATAGCGCGCCAGAACACCCATCACACACCAGTTTACTGAAGAGGAGACAGAGTGATGAAGCCAATCAGTAGACATGGGGATTGTTAGGAGGCCATGATGGTCAGAGGCCAATGGGCAAATTTGGCCAGGGGGCCGAGGGCAAACCTCTACACTTTTCGAAAGACATCCTGGGATTTTTAATGACCACAGAGAGTCAGGACCTCGGTTTAACGTCTCATCCGAAGGATGGTGCTTGTTGACAGTATAGTGTCCCCGTCACTATACTGGGGTGCTAGGACCCACACAGACCACAGGGTGAGCACCCCCTGCTGGCCTCACTTACAGCTCTTCCAACAGCAACCTAGTTTTCCCAGGAGGTCTCCCATTCAGGTACTGACCAAGCTCAACCCTGCTTAGCTTCAGTGGGCAACCAGTCTTGGGCTACAGGGTGGTATGGCTGCTTAAAGAAAAGCTGATATGGCTTATATATGTACATATTTTATGTACATATACCATATTTTGAGGATAAATTTGTACTCAGAAGTGAGCTAAACCTGACAAAACCTCCTTTGAGGATGTACTCATTTTGTAAAAATGCAAAATGTTAGGGTATGAATTAAGTTGCAGTATTTTAACTTGCTGTATCTAAAAACGGTAGAAGTGTGTGTGGTTCAGGTATTCCCTACATTGTAGGCAACAAATGTCCCCACAAGCAAAGTAATACTTGAACATATCTTGAAAATACAGTATCTTAAGGTTTTAAGTTTTGTTACTTCATGTTATTTTAGCTTATCAATACAATGTGCTATCTAACCAACAATATCTGATAAAGGGAAAGGGCCTCTACTGCAGCTTTCTCTGTTAACCCCATGACTGTGATGATGGTTTCACTGTGTGAGAGAGAGAGAGCATGATCCTAAGACTATTTATATGTGAGTATATGAAATGCTATTTGATAAGCCAATACAGAAATGCAAATGCTTTTATTTGACCAGTTTTGTGAATATTATAGACTCCTGTATGATAAAATGCTTGTGATGTTCTTCACCTGTAAGTTGCTTTGGATAAAAGCATCTATTAAGTGATTAAATATCCATAATTATCTGCATCATGATTTTTATCATGTTTCATCTTCAGGTTTCAGTGTCTTAATGGTTGTCACTGAAGGAGCAGCAGTGAAAGTTCATCCAGGAGGAAACACAACACTCCCCTGTAGCATTAAAAATGATACAGAGATTAACTGGATCATTACGAATGGAAACCAAACATTTGTTAGAATTCTGAAACTAGAATATCTTTATGGAGGTAAATTTAAACCAGAGCCCTCCATTATTCACCCAAGTTATGCAGGTCGGATAACAGCACTCATTTCTCCCATAAACACTCACTCTCTGCTTTTGATGAACATCACTGACACTGATCTCATACTCTACTGCTGCATGGACTTCACACTTGAACAATCTCACTGCACAAAACTGGACTATCAAGGTATATGTTTCAGACAATTTTTATGTACATTAAAATATATTAATTTAAAATGAATGATCATGTGAGCATTCAATGCTTTTAAATTCAGTATCAATTTTAATATCAATTTCTTTGGAAACATAACACAGGAGAACAAAGAATGTTATCATATACTCAGCATTCTGTTAGGTGATGTAGATTTCAGCATTGAAGATGTTGATCAGGATACAGATACTATCAGTCATGAATCAGAGATCGTCTTATGGCTGCCTGTCGTCTGTGTGCTTCTGCTACTGTTACTGGTGTCATGTGTCTATGTGTGTTGGAGAGGAACAGGACTGTGGAAAGGTTGATTTTACTTGAGCATGATTTTAATTTCATGAATACCAATAATGGTTTCAGTAATGTTTTGGTATAATTGTTTTCTCATTTAAAGGTTGTGGAAGAACTAATAACCTGAACCAGGACTGGATTCACAATAGTGCTCAGGTCAGAATCTCTCAGTTTGGTAGTTAGTAGTTTGTAATTACCACAAAAGACTATCACATTCTCTTTTTTTCTTGCTTTCCAGGGGAAACTGGAACAAGATGATTGGACACTGGCTGACGTTTTTTATACACTGATACCTTAATTGATTATTTCAAAATTCTTTTATTCACTTATCTTCATCTTTTGTCTTATTTAATACAATGTGTCTCTTTGGTAATCAGAGTAGTTTTATAACCCCTTTTTTCAGATGTGCTTCAATGTGCAGATGCAGAGATTGCTATGAATTGTATGTTTAACACTTAACTGTTTATGTCAATGCTTTATGATATTTTCTGCCACTTTAAATGTCTAACTTATGCACATGAATAATGACAATACTTGCAATGGCCTATACTCTTGTATTTTATTGTGACTATATGGTATCAAAAAGCTCCTCTCTCACAGCAGCCTTTTAACAATGTTTCCTGTCTGTGATTGTTGACTAAATGTAGCTCTTGTGCCAGCATTTAAAAAAGCAAGTCGTCTCACGCACATTGAACAGAGACACTCTATTTAGACAAATACTTCTAATAAAGTGATAGCAGAACTGAAATAGAGAATTAAATGCATTTAACTTTTTTTTTAAATGCATTTTCTTGTGGGTGTCTGAAGCAATGACTTTGGTGGACATGTCCTAAACCTTTTATGTTAGACATTATGTTCAGTGGCTGTTAACATCCTGTTTTTCACTGCTGCTGGTGGTTGTTTATGACCACATATAGCACTTAACCACAATGAACCACTAATGGGAGAAATGTGCTGTGGCATCTGACCAGAGAGATTGTTTCAGAGAACAACGGATGGAAAGATGGTCACACCACTCAGAATGTAAATGAGGTAGCTTAGCAGTCTTTGATATATTGCATGATGTTTGTTTAAAAGGGCATTATTGTGGATTGATTAATTAACATTTAATTTGTTCTAATAATAATTAAAACAGGTGTTAATAAAAAATGGTATCCATACGTTTAAATATGTATTTTAATATATATTACATTTTATTATAGCAGATAATTCATCAGTGCCTGATTTTTGTTGGCAAAATAGATATAATAAACAGTAATTAATTAATTAATTAATAAAATAAAATAAAATAATAAATAATAATAAAATAATTAATTAACTAATTTTTTTATTTCTGTATAATACCTGGAGAAAGCATCTAGCCACTCCCTGCTATTGAGATTAATGTGAACAGATACTGTAGCTCTTTGCAGGTATTAGTTCACTTTGGTTAAACCCATTTCTGACACCTAGCGGCGGAATTGCTCTCTACATTTTCAGATTCCTAAATTAATTTAGAGTCGGCTCTATTATGGATTGTTCGCGAATCGCGATTCAGTCTGAATCGAACAGATCAAATCGTTTCCAAATCGTTTGAAGTGGTCTTCCTCTGATCTACTGATCTACCTCTGGATACTGGATTAAGTGAATATTTACCTACAGTCAATTGAAAAAAGCATCAGTTTGCAGGGATTAAGAAGGTCTTTTTAAAATCTGCAGGTGACGCTTGCTATCTGATACCATCACTGTACTATGGTAATTTTGGTCAACTGTCACGTGTTTAAAATATTATAGATATAATGTGTTCATAGATTGGTAGGCCCTATTGATGGTGTCGTTTGCCGCATGTGTAACATATAAAGAAGGCTACATAGTCCTTTAGAAAATGTTACATTTTTGTTTTTGAACATCTTTGTTATTGTTTGGGGATATATTGTTACTTTGTTCATTTTTCTTTTTTGCAATGCCTATTTAGGCTATGCATCCCTGAAAAATAATTCGTTTTTTTTTTTGCTTGCCAGATATTTGTTTTCTACTGTTTCAGCTGTGCTGTTTTACAGGCTCAAAACAGTTCAAAATGCAAGGACTGACATTGTGATTTGATCAATTATTACAAGGCGTTCTCTACTATGGCACACATGCTATCACTGTCGCAGAAAAGCCTGTACAAACCACTGAGAAACATCAACCACAACTCAAACCAGTAGTTGCTGATCATACTTTATTTGTAGTCCATGTTTTCTCATACAAATCAGTCACTAGCATCACACTTCTCGCCAGGAGTAACTTTTTAGACAGTAGTCACTATAATGGATTATGTTAGCGGGAGCATGGAAGTCAGGAGCTAGTCCACATGGGTTTCAGCTAGTTGCTTTCTTTGAGCTCTGCCGCAAAAAACAAAAAAAATTAGTTTCTAACATGGCACCACAATATCCAAAATCATCAGTTTTTCCCCTTTACTATTTATGCAGTTACTAGGGTCCTCTAAATGGTTGCTAGACTGTGAATAGTGAGTAGTGTCAGGGTGGTACTGAAATGCTGCTTGCTACCCTGAATCAAAATGTTCTGATCCAGATTTGATGCAAAGTCTGATTCATAAGTAGTAGTAGGCCATATATGTTTGTATAGCTACAATACCACCACTAAAATGGTGTAGAACACTATATTAAATATTTGAACACTTTATTAGCATTTTATATTGATACAAATGCTTGAGTTTACAACTTACAAAAACTGACGAATTTTCCTCCTCACTCATGGTTGCCTAGGATCACTGCAGAACTCCCCCTGTTCAGTCTCAAAGCTTACAGAAAGAATAAATACATTGTTAAAGATGCACTAAATGTCAGATGCCATTGATTTTTAGTACTGATGTGTGTTTTTTCTAGAGAGCAACTGTGATTCTTACATGACGGCCTTCACACATGGAAGACTTTCCCTTTGCATCCTGAAACTGATGATGGGATCGATCACCTCTGCTGCGGAGACGTTAGTACAGCATGATTTCACCTCTTCAGCATCTGCTGAAAACCCAAAACAAAAGCAGAGTAATCCACAATATTTTGCAAAGTTAAATCAGAAAGAATACTGTAAAAGTTAGAAGCACTTTACCTGTTATAGTCCAGATCACAGATGCAATGACCACAACAGTCAAACTCCTCATGAGGATCCTGTGTGTCTCCATGTTCACAGCTGATCTCCAGCTTTCACTTTATTTATCTGAGAGAATATATTCAAGGTTCTTGTTAGTTCGCCTTAAGTAGTAATAAGGGGGAAAGGAAAGAGGAAATTACATGGGCTACACACCTGTCCATTGCAAGCACATTAATTTTTGTGGATGATTTAATCATTTTTCCGTCTCGTCAGCAAATCTGGATATTTGTGTAGTTTAGTTTGGGAGTAAACTCAGTAAAAATCTGTTTACTGACAATCATTAGCGGCTACATGTTTAGGAAAATGACTACACTTACTGCTAATAAATTTGAGGTATGGTTAGGTTTAGACGTTAGGGGTTAGAGTTTTGGGTTAAGGACTGGGTTAGGTTAGGGGGAAAATTAAGAGTGTAACTAAAGTTTAAATTAAATTCTTAGTAAAAAAAAAATCAAATCCTAAAATCTTGGTTTTAGGAACACCTGGATGACATTTATTTTATAACCTTGCTGTAATTTCCGACATTATATTTATAATTAGCTAGAAATTTTGGCCTACACACGGACAGTGGGTGCAGACATCAGTAGACTTTGCTAATGGCAAAAATGATGTCATGGCAAAGTATGCTTTGTATTGTAGTCTGATCAAATGTTCAAAATGGTTTAAAGAAATTCATATGGGTTCCTTCAATGAATGGTCTTAAAGGGGTCATATGATGCGATTTCAAGTTTTCCTTTCTCTTTGGAGTGTTACAAGCTGATTGTGCATAGATAAGATCCCTGAAGTTGCAAAGACTAAAGTCTCAAAACCAAAGAGATATTCTTTATCAAAGTTAAGACTCTGCCACGAAAGACTGGACATAGTTTCAATGTTTTTTTCCCCCCCTGAAAATTTAAAGCAGATAAAAGAAAGCAGGTAAGTGAAACATATTGATCAACATTCTCATAAGCTAAAGGAACATCTATTTTTTTTTTTATATACTAATGAAATGAACACAGTATTGTCATGGTTATAAACATCTTTGAGATTAGACTGTGTACAGAGAGCTTATATTATAGCATCCACACATAGATGTGGTCTTCTTTACGGAGGGATTTGTACCTTTGACGCATCCTTTTAGCAGTTGACAAAAATTACAAACTGATGTAAATGGAAACAAACCACAAAGAGAGAGAGAAAATGATCCTGGTACAGATTATATGTGAGTATGTAAAGTTCTCAAATGCTCTATTTTCAGTGATGCTATTGATATTATTTGATAAATTGCTCGTGATTTTCCGTGTTTGTAAATTGGTTTTGATAAATACTTCTGCTACATGATTAAATGTCAATAATCACAATGATCCAGACTGTCAAGTGATCACTGTCAAGTAAGTTTTTCTTGGATTCACATTTTCCATATAAATCAAATTATTTTATTGTTTCATCTTCAGGTTTTAGTGTCTTAATGATTGTCACTGGAGGATCATCAGTGAAAGTTCATCCAGGAGGAAACACAACACTGTCCTGTAGCATTAAAAATGATAAAGAGATCACCTGGATCATTACGAATGGAAACCAAACATTTGTTAGAATTCTGAGACTAGAATATGCTTATGGTCCAGAATCTAAACCAGAGCCCTCCAATATTCACCCCAGTTACGCAGGTTGGATAAGAGCCCTCAGTTCATCCACAAACACTCACTCTGCTTCTGATGAACATCACTGACACTGATCGCATGCTCTACTGCTGCACTGACTATAAGATTGAGCAAACTCACTGCACAAAACTGGACTATGAAGGTAGGATTTTTTCTTCATATTTTTTTTATTAAACACATTCCTAGGTTTATTTTTAATGTAATTGCTATTTAATTGTTATTTTTAATGTAATGTTGGCCTAAAATAAAATTAAAACAATGTGACCACTTAATTTTGCTTCCTGTGAATCAAAACTCATACTAAATTAGAAATCTATATTTTTTCTGTGTTGTGCTTAGAAGTGAGCACTGAAGATGTTGATCAGGATACAGTTACTATCAGTCATGATTCTAAGCACAACACAGAAAAATATAGATTTCATGATGAATCAGTGATCATCGATATCATCCCACGGCTGCCGGTTGTCTGTGTGCTTCTGCTACTGTTACTGGTGTCAAGTGTCTATGTGTGTTGGAGAGGAACAGAACTGTGGAAAGGTGATTTCCATTTAAGTTTAGATGGCATTAAAATACCATTAGTTTACATGATATTTTCTGTATAATTGTGTTCTCAATTAAAGGATTTGCAAGAAGTAATGACCTGCACCGGGACTGGATTCACAATAGTGTTCAGGTCAGAAGCTCTCATACATTAGTCTGCTAGTAATATAAGATTGCATTTATCACATTTTCTTTTTTCTCACTTTCCAGGGCAATAGAAAGTTGGGTCATATGTGTCCAGATGATTGGACACTGGCTGAAGCTATTTATACACCACTAAATACTATTTTTTAAATCATAATTTTCAAATTTCAAACTAATTTTACGCAAAAATGCAAATCTTGAAGTTGAAATGTTCAAACTCTGATGTGTAAGTATTGGATTGGAGAAACTGGGTGTTTCTTCAACTACTGTATAAG